GAAAAATTAGTAGAGAGATAATAAAAAAAACATTTTTGGATAAATTTCCTATTCTTGCGGACCAAAAGAAAAAGATTTAGAGAACAAAGGCAAAACATGAAGAAAAACTTCAATAAAACATGTTCTTGAAGATTAAAAACCGGCGAAAGATAAATAGTGAAAATAATAAAACCAAGCTTAAAACAAAGAATTTTAAAGGTACTTAAGATTTTCTTTCTAAAAGTAAAAAATTTTTTTTTTAAACCTATGTAAGATGTCTTGTAGAAATTTGACTACTTTGTTCTGCTCTTAATTAGACAACTTGGGATTGTTTATTCTATCAACTAGAGCTATTATTATACAAAAGACTTTGACTTAAAATTTTGTTAAATAATATAATATTTGTAGAATACAGCCAGAGTTCATAACTGTGTATTTAGGACTTGTTTCATTATAATTTCCGTTTTTATATTTATTTTTTTCTTTTTTGTGTATGCTTCAAGAAATTAATATGTTTGCTAGTTTCTGTCTGTAGCTTGATGGAGATTTTATGGCTTTGACCTTTGAATGATGCTGTCAATTTAATGTTAATGATCATGACGACTGCCAAACTAACCATTAAATATGATTGTGAGAGGTTATTAATAACAAAAAGTAACCCATCATTTATACAATTGGTAAAAGTTGCGACTCGATGATGACAAACCATTCAATAATAATAAAATTGTCTATCAACACCAGCCACCAGAGGCAGAGTTCGAGTGAGTGAGCGCTTGCTTATTCGTGGTGCAGATGTCTCTGCCTCAGTATCTTTTCGCATATTGCTGGCAGAGCGCAGCTGTAAATCAATTGTGAACCCGTACTGCCTCGCACCCGATCCCGAACTCTGTTCCGGCCCTGGTGGCAAATACTCGTAGCGCTGTTTTGACAAGTGTCACGAGAGCTGTCAACACGCTCCACTCAGATAGAATGCATGCAAACGGTTCCAGCCGGCTACAAAAAATATGGTGAGAAGATGATATATGTATATGAGATGATCGACAAAGAGATGCTCTTTGAAATGTCAAAGGTTGGGAATTAATATGATACGAATTGTAAAAAGGAAGGTAGTTATATAAAATATGTACTAAGAATTTGTTTGAGAATTGCTTCGTTTAGATAATAATCGAGTTACAAATAGTTAGGCAATGTTTTGTTAGGTAAGGTTAGGTTTTATGAGATTAAGCTACTATTATAAAACATTTATGTATTTATATATATTTTGAAATTGAAACATGGAAACACAAATGCTGAATCTAATAGTAGCTCTTATCTGAGATTACAGTACTAAATTCCTGCACCCTATCTAATCGTTAGTCTAAAACAACAAAGAAAAGAACAGTTGGAATTTTTATAGCCATTATCATATCACTTGAAATATGAAGATTACAATTTTATTATTTTTGTGTTTTAACCAAATTATTAAAATAGAATACAATATCAAAATTGAGCTTTTCTTAAAGTTTTTAATTAAATTTTTAATTACTATATTAAGTTATGTTAGATTACGACTAATTATACTTGAGTTAAGGCTTATTAAAAAAAAAAAATTAAAAAGTATTTGACTGATCTATGAAATTCTTATTTCATCACGATCAGGAAATATTATTGTATTATATATACAAACACACACAAAATGAAACTCATGCTGCCTCGTTTGTGCTACCCTGCCAATGCAGGGTATTTATATATCTTTTATTAATTTTTTTTTATCCCTCGGCAACTATTTAACGCCCACAAAAAATGCAAGCGCGTTGTTGTAATTAAAAATACAATCAGTTTGTTTTTTTTTTTTTTTAATTTTTTTTTTTAATTTTCTTTAATATTTTTGCCGCATTTTTATCATGTTTTAAACTTAATTTCATATTATGCAACATTTTCATGGGTTTTGGGTTTTACATGCCTCTCGGTCGTTCCAGCGGGCAAATGCGTGAAAAATTTAAAAACCGTAACAAACGCACAATATATATATATATTTTTTTTTTTCGTAGTCTGACGACGCGACTTACGTTGTTCCCCTGTTGCCCGCCTAACCAGCGGCGTTTTTTTTAATAGCTTTGAACTGGAAAAAAATACACGAAAAGACCAGCAAAAAAAAAGTTAACAATAACAAAAACAAATGGCAAACGTGTTTCAGACCAAAAGGTTGAAAAGTAGCTCCCAATATTCAATTCAAGCGCCAACTTCTGCTTCAGCTCACCTCCCTCTGCTCGGTCAAGTTATTCACGTCAGCGCTTTGAATTAACTTTTTTTTTGTTGTGGCTTATTTCACCTTTTGTTTACATTATTAATATACAATTATGTATACACAAACTGGCGGCCTGGCAAATTTATAATTTGCTTAACTTTTTGCTGCAAAAAAATGCTGTTTATAAATATTAAATTAGCTGGCAGCTGCGTGTAAATTGGGATACATTTTGTATATTAGCAATGAATTTATGGAGCAGCCATAAAAATAGGAAAAACAAAACCGACAGATTGTAGAGATATTTATTTATTAATTTTTTTTTTTTAAATAGATAATATCTTAATTTGAGCTAAGCGAATATCAAAGAAGATCGAAAGTCCATTAAAAGTTGTTTATAAAATTTGATCAATTGAATTTTGAAGCTGTTTTATGATGAGAATTTCGATTGCGCTGATCGAAAATGATTACAAAAATAGAATATGAAATAGAGCATACATTTCTGAAAATGTTTTTAAAAATATGCAAAACACAAATTTGGATTTTGTAACTTAGTGCGGAGCTTAAAAATTTCTCCTGACTTCACAAATAATTATATAATATTCCAGCAAATTATGTATATAAATTCAATTGAATATCATTAATTTGCAAGCGGAACAAATAAATGAAGTGCCCATTGTATACTCTGTATTATATAAAGAGGATTATCAAGTTATGTAAATGTAAATAAAAATAGGCAAACCTCTTATCCAATGTTTATCTGGTAAATAAAATTAAGTATGTGTATGTAAATTCATTTATACAAAGCATACAGGGTTCAAGTGATTCCTGGTCGGAATGCTGGATAAGCTGGTTGGATTCAGAGATAATTTCATATACTAGAGAAAATTTCATATACTATAAGAGCTAGATATGACGTTTGGCAAATATTTTTCTCGACATATTAAACTGAATAAGTCCCTATTTTTCCAGTCTTGATGAAAGTTTAGTTCATGAATTAATATTGATTATATTAAATATTATATTTACAGCACTAATCCCTTAAATAGAGAGATTCACAAATCTTAATTTATAATTGCTGTACAAGGCATCTCTGAGTCTTATACTCTGCCCTATCAAACTAATTGTTTAGATCACATTTGTTTGCACAACAAATGAGCTGAAAGTTAACAGATTGTTGGCAATTGAAAGTGCCAGAAAATAAAAGTTTCTTCTTTAAACCGCAAAGTACAACTTTCAAGCCATGGCGGCTGTCACAAGGCTGAAACTTAAAGCCCTTTTTTCTAACTAACTTAAACCCTTCAGTGGTAATGAAATTTGTAACTCGTAAGTGGAAAAATCAACAAAAGATTCACGCACCAATTTGTATGTAAATATATGTATGCTACACACATATATACATATATATGTGTGTTTATAGCTTAGCTGACCCTGAACTTGTGGCCAGATTGAAGCTACAGCTGCGGCAATTGAGAGCCCGTCGAGCCCAAGTTTGGTTATCGTGTGAATATTTATACGCTAATCAATGAGCGTCTCTCGGTCTTTATATTTATGGGCGTTGCTTGTAAATGTGCTTTTGGCTAAAACAAAATATATATAAATTTCACATCAAGCAGCTTGCTGAATTATATATATATATGTGTATTTATGAGCCACTGTATTCAAGTCAAGCGCCGCAAAAGTCTGTTATTGGCCCGTGACACGTGGCTCATAACCACAAATGTTGTAATACGACATGTCTGCATAGCCATAAAGCCATATTTATGCTTTATGATGTGAAGAACCTTATCTTTTTTTTCTTTTTTTTTTTTTGTACATCATTAGAAATAAGATGTTAGGTGTATGAGCTGGTAAGAACAGAGGTCATTTGTTAATGAGATAGGTTAAATGGGGTTTACTAAGAATCAGTTTTCCACGGGGCTCCGACGTACTGAGTCGGTGTCTGACCCAAGACAGTTAAAGGCTTAGCCAAGTGTAGCTATTGGCTAAGTATACGAAAGTGGAATATATATAAAAAGATATATAGAATTGATCCCCTAACTGAACGTTGAAAAAAATTAGTACATTAAAAGTGCTGCAATGTAATATTAAAAATTTTTTAATGAATGTTCAACTTTTTATTAAGTATTAAGTACTTCAATGTTTTATTATTTTAGATAAGAACTGAATTGATAGATAAGCATATTGTAAATACAGCTATTCGTAATCGATTGTTGTGAAATCAATAACCAAATGTATGAAATACCTAATCAGTACATTCCGTTTCAGTATACTTAGATATAAAATAAAATAAGTAATAGCAAAATTAAGAAATTATTTTTTTAATACCCTGAAATCTTAAAGATTATTATATATTATTATAATAATGCACTTTAATATTAGTTGGATTATAAATTATAATGAAATAGATTTTTCAAAAATCTAAATTTTAGGAAAAAAAAACAGAACTGCTTATATATTAGACCCTTAGGCCAATCAATATTTCGATAACTTTGAAGTGATATTTAAAGCAGTTATTAAATACAAATTAATGGTGTTAGTTCCCATAGTTTCGCTGCTAAAGCAAACTTTTGGCGCCATTAATCTTTTACACAAATATACCTTGGCTAATTGAATTTTAATCTGTAAAAAATGTCATAGCGAAGTTTCGTTTTGTTGCCAGAGTCGGTTGATAAATGACTTTGGAATGAGACGACCTAAAATTGGCAAACAAAATTATATATGTATATACAGAATATATATAGTTTTATATATGTATATGAAAAACGCAACGGTCACGTTTATTGAATTGGAATTTTATCTCTTTCTTTGTGAAGTTTCTTCCATTTCCATATTATTTGGATATCATGATTAATTGCTCAACTTTATTTGTTAGCAACTTTTTGTTGCTTGGGGCGTATAATTTGTCAGCTTTTGTTAGCCGGTTTTCTGAATTGAGATGATGCGACAATCATGCAAATATAAATGGAAGTGTTGCGACCTAATTAGGCATGACTACAATTTTCGAGTGCTAAATTACGTACTCGAGTCCAATGCTCATTTAATGTGTTAGTCTTGATGAAGATCATGTAATTTATACTTAAACCGGGTGTTCTTAAAGGGGAGCAAGTTTAATATGGAGAGGAACAAATTAAAATGGTGTAATATTTCGGATATTAAACTATGATTTTATATGTAATCATAATATTTTGTACTTGATTTATCTCATGTGTAAAAACTGTTGAAGCACAAATAGCACAACGCTTCACATCAATTATGCAATGCATGATTATAAAGTAAATCAAATCGAATTTCCAACTGTTTCGTTTTGGTCAATTCATTTAAGTGCAAAGCAAGTGAAGCGACAATCAATTGAAATGCAATGGTGCAAAGCGATTTCAGTTGCAATTTGTCAATGTTGCATTTTGATGTCAATTAGCATTTGGCGGAACTGCACCGAAATCACCAACGGTAGCTGCAAAAAGTTAAGTGCCATATGGCAAGCCCAATGTCCGTTTCGCCTTCCAGTTGTTCATAATTGTATGCCGACTCTTCCTCAAAACTAGAACAAGCTTAACTGACTGTATCATGCTCGTTTAGATAGATCTGCAATAGACTTAGCAATATAAATATTTATGACTAATGATTCTGTTGTACAGGTTATATAGATCTATAACCATAGCACCATTTGCATAACTAGGAGATTTTATATAGCTCTATAATCTATGATTCATTTAAATATCTAGCTCTAAAATTATTGCAGACATATTTGCTCTGATTCCCCACGCATCCAAGGCGCCTATATACATAACTATTTATCAGTATATGCCAGGAAAATACATAGTCAAACTAATATGCCCTTAACACCTCATAAACGAGCATATAAATGGAAGAAAATTATTGCCGCTGACAAAATTTGCATTCCAAATTTATGCAAGTTTCGTATTTTGTGTGTTTTTCCTCTGCGTTCTTTAGCTGCTGCCCAGTAATTACGAGTGCAGGGAATACAACTCGTGATTCCGCGTATAAGAAACGTAAAATTTGAAATTATAATCAAGCTAGTTTTTAGTGCAAAGTTTGCGGTGGTAAACGTTAGCCCAAGTCGTTGTGGCCAATGTAAATTGTTTATTAGCCTGGCTAAAAGGTAGCTGCTGGCGTAGCGAGGGCGAAGCATGGCAACCAGTAAAAAAGAAAGAGATGTTGCTTCAATTTGAAAAGTGTTAGTGTAAAAATATTGTTTTAAGCAGTAAACTTTAATAATTTCTATATAAACAGAGCTGTAGATGAAGTGGAGTAAAAGCGTTGTGTATTTTCCTGTTTATGTTGGCTGGGTTGGTTAGCTCTTATAGTTAGTTTAGCAGGAGTTTATTTTTTTTTTTTTTTTTTTAAGTAAGTAAAGTATAAGCATAATCTGAAGGAAAAAATGATCATCTTGACGGCAGTGTCCTCAGTACTCAGATATATGCAGAGCAATCCGTGTATAAATATATAAATTCCAGATTTTCCGTTTTCATTTCCATGGATTGAGAGCATAAAGTACAGCTGATCAGGTGGTTTAGTGGGTTGCTTATAATACAGACATTTTTCTGAATAATAATAATTTAGGTAATCACAAATTTCATAACCAAGAAAGCGTGTTAAGTTGTAGATGGATAAAAGATATATGTATTAGACTTTTTATATACCAAAGAGTTTTTTTTTAAGTGCTTAAAAATTTTCCTAGAATATTTATTATGCAAATAATATTAAATTAAAAATATCTTCGTCTATTACATTCCTCCATATATAGCTATATTTATTTAAAAGTCTAGCCAGAGCGGCGTTAATGTGTAATTAACAGCAAGTGACCCCAATCTATATTAACCTAAAATTGTCATCCACCTTTCTTAACTTCAAATGAAATTATCGTCTCGCGTTAATAGATTCCCGGGGGTCCAATGCAATTTGATGGTATTTTAAGTGCCGTTGCTAAAGAACAGCTGCGGTATTTGTACCGTCAGCTTCATCAAAATTTTCATCATATGATACTATTAGGAAAAAAAAAGCAGAAAAAAACAGATTGAAAATGAAACGACAAAAAAGTTCACGTGGCGACATTTGCAACGCAAAGCCAAAAGTCGTTGAAGAAAAGTCAACAAGGGAGAAAAATACTAGAGAGACAGAGTGAGAGGTGAAGAGAAAAAACTCTGACAGCAATTTATGTGAGCGTGAAAACAAATTGCCTAACGTATGGAAAATTATTGCATATGGAGACCAAATAAACGCTAGAAAGAGTCAGACAGCAGCAGTCGAAGCATTTGGGGAGGCACTTGAGGTGGAGGCGCATCGGGAAGCGATTGCGATGCGCATAGAACTTGATGACAAATCATGAATTCGTTACAGCAACTCAACAAACACAGACACTCACTCACACCTACCGTAGGGCTAAGGTGTCTGGGGAGGCAGACAGGGCACACTGACCACTCGCCACATGCGTCACGTGAGGCATTTACACAATCAACGCATTGGCACAGCCACAGCCTCAGCCGTTGCCCCTGACAGTGCCTACTGTGAGTACCTTTTGTCTGGTGTTAGCTGTGCTCATGGCTTATACCCTGTAACGAGCGCTTAAGATGGGTAGGATGGGAAGACTTGGACAGTGATTTTGACTAATTTATTACAAATACTTGAACGCTTTAATTTAATCTGAAAGACTTCTCAAAAATTCAGAGTATTTTTTTTTAGTTTTCATGGCTTAAGCTATCTTAAATATAAACTTTTCATAATCATGTACATAACTATGTATTTATTATTCTCTATTTATTCAAAATTTCGTAAATAGGATATCTAACATCTAGGTCCTTTTTACTTTCATATATATAAAATGAAAAATGTTTCTTAACCTTCAATATTTATGGAATTAAAATTCAAAATTAACGCTAAGCATAATATTAACATTAACATTGGCACTAGCAGGAATTTTAACACTAACATTTACAGTTATATTTACATTAACACTTTATGCAAGTCCAGCAGGGTATCTACAGGTCGCCTTTCATACTTCTTCTATAGATTTTGCATTTAAACATTGTGTCTTGGCCACCTTTAAGGCAGCACACACACATTCGCACACACACATATTTGCTGCCTCGCATGCGTTTTCGCAATCTTCGGGCAGAGCGAGTGTCAACAGAATCTACACTCTAGGTATAGGTCCCTCCCCTCACGGCCCGATATATCAGTGGGGCTCTGTCGCAAGCGTATTTCGACTTTTTGAATTTGTCGAGCCCCCGCCCAAAAGCCATCCGAATTAGTGCGTGTGTGTTTGATTTTTGTCTTCTTCTTCTGTGTGTTTTTTGTGTCTCGAAAATGTTTTACAAGTGAGTGAAATTTGTGTCTTTCTTTCCTGCTTCTGTTTTAGTTTTTCACTTCATTTGAAGTTCTCCTTTGTTTCTGCTGGCTGGGTGATATTTGATTGATGTTTTGCTTCGCCCTTTGCTGCTCTTTATAAATTGGATATTAACTAATGAGCTTAAGCGATTTTACTTCTGCTTTTCATTGGGGTCTATGTGAAAGCGCCAGCTGAAAGAAAATACCTTCTCGTACTGTTCATGTGGGGATTACGTGAGTACGATGTGTGTGTTCCTTTTGTGAAAAATGAAATTAAAAGAAGCAGCTGGGAAGCTTGAGAAAGTTTTTTATTTTCGTAAATAGAAGATGTAACAATGTTGGCAATGTTGCCTAATGAAACTTGACTCTGAATAAAACAATATATGAAATCACATTGTTTCTAAAAAATGAAATTAAGAGGAGAAGCTCGAAAGATTGTGAAAGTTATTTGCTTATTATATTTATGAAATATGAAATTTGACTTGCTATGAAATCAACTTTTAAAATTTTGTTTTAAAACAATTTAATTTCTTAGCAAAATATTTTAAACATTTCAAAATATGGGCTTACCCATAAATCTAAAAAAAAAAAATAAATAAAGAAATAAAATGTATATTGTAGAATCTGTTAAAGAATCAACTCGTAACTCTACTGCTATTACTGATTGATACCATAATTTCAAGTTCCAACCATCATGAGCATTAGGGGAAAATGTTTAGTCCATGTCTGTCATAAAATGACAATGTAAGACACTTGAGTAGCTTAACAGAGGCAATTTAGCTTTATATTGTACCTTCCATGCCTTTTAACTGCAACCTTAAAATTACTGTCTATCCATAACAGTATCTACAGAAATATTATATTTCTAAAATGCTACTAATATCTCTTAAGCAATCTCACTTAAATTTTCTGTTTATCAAACATAAATCTAAGCAAACCCAACCAAACCACCAAGTGCCTCAGTGCCTCAGTGCCTCAGTGCACCTGCCTCAATGCACACCCACTTGGGCGCCCACGCAATGGCTTTCTCTATTAAAATAGACACAGGCAAACAAACAAATATCTATGTCTAGCGCTGTCTCTTGTGCACTTTGAAGGCAGGGACACATCCCGTGTTTGGCAACATGCAACCGAACAAATCTTCAACGCACTACAATACATAATTCCACTCATGAATCACGTGGCGTATTTATAAAATAAAATGACAACACACACGGGGCATCAGCATCTGCATCAGCACCGATCCCAATCCCAATCCAAATTCAAATTTCAAATCCAACATCAACTCGGACAACTCTATTTTTGCATCGTGCATGCAGCTCTCGACGGGATTCGGCCTCGGACTCGGACCCCGGACCCAGACCCCGCCACTCGTACCCCTCATCCATCCCTCACCTTGCACCTCACTCACGTCGACCACTTCACCGATGAAGCATCAGCGGGAGATGCAAACAAGCGAAATTAGTTCAAATTCTATATTTAAAACTAGGACTGCCGGCCAAAATCTTGCATGTTGTGGTCGCCTCGCCACCATGCCACATGCCGCAAGTTTATGTTGTGTTCGTTTTTCCTTCCAAACGATGCGCAACGCGTTGGAAAACACTTGTTTTTGCGTTTTTGGCTTTTCCGACCGCAAATGCTGTTGCTTATGCCGGCATATGTTTGAATATACTTGCATATCTAACAGTGTTGACCAGGTAACCGACACAAGGTGGGCATTAAAACAAATTTACGGAGCGCGTAATGAGAGCCTGCTCAACAGCCTTAGATATACCCTGTAAAATATGTGGGTAATATAACATCACGATTGCCTTTCATGCAATGAGCTATTTAGACTATATAGAGTATTTGTATAGCTAATATACATTACATTTATTATACCCTGTATACCCTGTAAACGTGGGTGTATTCGTAACAGAGTCATGGCCAGATAGAGTAGAGTGTATAGGAAGACTAGAGATTATTAATGCTCATGTTGGCTTAATGAGAAGCTTTAAACTCAAAAGCTTTTTAAAATTTCTTCATTTGGTGAATCACTCTCAAAGCAAACTCATAAACAGTTTAAAAAACAAAAGTTACTCAAGAAGACATTTGATAAACTTTTTAATGTAATTATTAGCTTAAATCTAGGCGATGAGATTTAAAGAGGACTTTCGATTTATTTATGAGCCTTAAATAAATAAAATATAAATACTTACGAACGCCTTGATTGAGATCTTAGCTTACGCTTGAAAACTTTGTTGCGAAAGTCAAATTGTACTGTCAAACCGTTTGAATAACTTCTTAAAATGAATATTTCTCCAGTTTATTACTTTACCTCAAACTTGACAGTAAAATCTGTTTGAAATACTTTTGAATACTTTAAGTATACAACATAATAAAAATTTCTCATAAGCTCTTTACTGCTCGCCTCTTTAAAGCTGAATTTGCATTTCAAAGAATATTTCTGTGAAGTACATGACGGAAATCTGTTTACTACAACGAAGTTAACCAGTTTGAAATCGGCTGAAAAGGCTTTCAAAAATCATAAGCATTAGGTTAAAGTAACTTTCAAATATAAGCTCTATATATATTAATATAATAAGGAAAAGCTTAAGATCTTAACTTTAAAGCAAAAGCTTCTCAAAAACTAAAAATTGATTTTGTTGTGCTGCGCTAATTGAATTTATTATATAATTAAATTGAGACCCAGTGAAATTTTACTTCGTTTCTTTCAACCCTTATAAAATCCCCTCTCCAACAGCTCGCAGTGCATTAAAAATTCGTATATAAAATATAATATTTTTTCGTGAAACCGTTTCAACCTCTTGCACAGTAAACCAACTTGGATTATCTGCTAAAAAGCAGTTGAAATGTTTACGGTCAGTTTCGTTCATTTTACATGGCTGGCAAAAACATAAACGGGCGCTCAACCAAAACCGATGCCGGTTGTTAAAATCTAGAATCAATTACGTTGCAGTTGTTGTTATTGTGGTTGTTGTTGTTGCTGTTGTTGCTGCTTTTGTTGGGCTTTTTATTGTGCTACATCCTCTTGGAAACTCTGCTTAGTCTGCTTTAGCACTTTTTGTATTTCTTTTGGGTTAGCAAATTTTCTTGTACGTCTTTCAATTAATAACGTATAATGGACACTTTTTGCACCAAAAAATTTCCGCGCTCAGGTTCCAGCTGAGTGCGCTAATGTTGGAAAACAAACTTCTCTTTTGTGTGTATGCGCTGGGAATATGAAGTTGATCTAATCGGGTAGCTTGGGCTGGTAGTTAAGTAAAAAAAAAAAAAAAAATGATAATGGATTGAGATTGGCTACGGTTTCAGCTTTTCTGCTCGTTGTAGTAAAATGCAGAGAGACGAATATATTATGTGTTAAGGCCGTAGACCATCAACAGGGTAACTAGAAGTCATACACTCTAACTATTTGCTCCAGCTTGCCCTCAGGCTAATCGAAAAAAAAAAAAAAAAGAATTGAGCAGCTAAAAATGGGGCGTTATTTAATGCTTGCACTCAAATAAGTATACATTAAAACACACACATATATGTAGTATATATACATACATAAATAAATTTAATGCTCATGTGCATATATACGATCCTCAGCTGCAGAACAAAGCAACATAAAAATCGGTTACATTTTAGCCAAAGACGTCCAAAATGCCAGAACAAATAATAATTTTCAGTGTGTGCTTTTCTCAAGCGAGGCTATTTATAACGTAATTTTCGGTTGACCGCAATTTGAATAGACGTTTGTGCTGCTGCTGTTGTTGTTGTTGTTGTTGCTGTTGTTGTAACATAAACTATACGAATTGGGGTTGCGGTCTTCAGCCATGCTGTGTGTCTGGAGCTGATGATGTAATATGGCCAAAGATCTTGTTTACAGTGCCACTGAGGAAGGAAGTGCTCGTAATAAAAACACAAAATTGTACATTGAATTGATCAGTAAAATTATTTAATGGATATGTTGCGAGTGCCATTCAGGGTGAATTGCTTTTAATATTGAGGCATTATTATTCTGTTAGCCATAAAAGGAAAAGTCAAAAATACCAAAATATAGCTATATACTCATAATTAGTTTTAACATGCCAGTTTATATAGCCAGAGGCGTTTGTCTTTAAAAATTTATCTAGTGCGACAAGCATCAGCTTCATTATACCTCTACATCATATAAAATATTTGTCAGACTTGACATGATATCTTAATTATGGTAAATAGTATACAATATATCTTGTATCTTATAACATGCATTACAGAGGTCATAGGTCATAGACCATAGGTTATGGATCATAGATTATAGATCATAAGTCATTGATCACAGATCATAGATCCTAGATCCTAGATTGTTGATCATAGATCATAGATCATATATACAATACCCTATACGATGTTCTTCCTCACTTATTCCTATTTATGCATTCACCTATTTATCATTAAATATATATCCAAGATCATAGATCATTGATCTTAGATTATTGGTCATTGATCTTAGATCATCATCTTAGATCATTTATGTCGTATATACTATACCCTATACCATACTCTTCCTTTACTTATCCCTGTTTATCCAAATTCATTCATCTATATTAATTCCTCTTTTATATAACTCTTTAGTCCGCTTCTACCTTAAATTTGTTGGCTTTTGAGCCCTAACAATATCCATTGTCAGCTTTGATGCTGTAAACGCATTTTTTACAAGCTGGCAACTGTTCCGTTTTATTGATGCCACGGGCCACGTTTTAATTGCTGTAAAAAAGAAGGAAAAGTCAAAAACAAGGAACTAAAAAATGGTTGACACTTTTTTATGGAATTGAGTGGGTAGCTTTTGTTTCTTTTTCTCTCTCTCTCTCTCTCTCTCCGTATATCTATTTTTTTATTGGATTGACTTTTGGTCTCTTCGGTCCTAGAGGAGCCATTCAAATTTGCTGACAACTGAGCGACTTCCGCACGCCAGTTGCAAGTTGCAAGTTGCCAAAGTTGTGCAGCTTCCTCAATAATTTTGTTCGCTGCAAGTTGCGAGTCTCAGCAGAGATAGTGGGAGAGGGAAAGGGACAGAAAACGGTTAAAAGGGAGCTGCAAATTATGCAATTCGCTAAGCAGCAACAGCGGAAAACGCAGTACAGCCCGAGCCTTGCCCTGCCTACCACCCTCCCGCCTGAAGTCTGCAAACACATAATTCGTACGCTTAATGAGCTTCCATTAAATTTAATTGCAGTTGCAACTGTTGGCCAGTGGCGGCAAAGGCCAACCTTTTGGATGGGTAGCCGAATCATTGGGAAGCTGGCTATCTATCCCTTCTCTTCTCTCTCTTAACTTTTGGTTTTGTTTCTCTGTCTGTTTATCACGCAGTGAGCCTTCAAATTCTCAATTGAATTTTTTAATTGAAATTCAAGCAATTAGCTTTGTATACCCTATAGAGCTTTGGTGCTTTTTTATAGGGTGTACAGAGCGGACATTATTGCTTTGTATACCCTGTAGAATGATAATCATGGTGCTTTCTATAGGGTATACAAAGTGGACAGTAACGTATAGTAAGGGAGAAGGAATATGTTTAGGTATTGGCAATAACCTTTTACAAATAAAGTAAAGTATTAAAACTTTGATTTTATTCTAAAAATATCGTAATACTTTTTGCTTATCCTAATATACATATATTTAATATAAGTAAGTAGTAACCAAGTAGTAACCTAAATAATCTTCAGCTATTCATATTGAGTTGCTTTTCCTTTTTGGTTAGAGCTCTTAAAAGAAGTATATAAAACTCTTTATATACTCTATTTTCAACTTGTACTAGACTAGACTTAATCTAGAAAACTAAGCTACAAAATTTGCTTAAATTTTTGCCAGTTTTAGCTCTACTCTAAATGTTAGTTTGCGATTGTCTCAAACAATTAAAGCTCTTTAGATTTTCAGATATGTCACAGCCACAGCCACAGCCACAGCCGCAGCTGTTGTCTTGCTGGCATTTCGAGTATCTCTTAGACTCAATCAAACTGTGTTGACTTCTGGGTTTGCAATTGCCTGAAATTGATTTCGAGTGGCTTTTGAAGTTTTTCATGTTGCGTTTTTTTGCAGTGGGAGCATCATTTGATATTGGATTTTTATCATGTTGTTGCCCACAATTTGCGTACTTTCACTTTGGCCGCAGACAATTTGCTTTAATCATACGATTTGGCCCCGGGCCGCGCTCTGATCTGCTAACCCCAAGTCGACTCGGTCGGCATAATTAAATTGCCCACTTCCTTTTCCATGGATCGGCTCGACCAAGCGGCACAATGAGTTTATTATGCGAGTTCTTTTGCATATTTACATGAGGCTGCCGCACTATGAGTGTGTGTGTGTGTGAGTGTGAGTGTGCGTGTGTATTGTGTGTGTGTTTTGCTGCTTGTGAAACTTCCCATTAATCAATTCTTTTGTTCTTCGCATAACTAGGTGACCTTTTTGGCTAATTTATATACAACTTAATTAGTCAAAGAGCATGCAAGGAAAATTCTTTTCGATGCTTTACAAAGCTCAATCTTTTTGTTTTTTTTTTTATTGTTCAACCGAGTTAATTAAAGTTTTTCCAAAGAACAACAAACGTCAGAGCATGGAATCTGTGAAACTGCAAAGCTTTTGTATGTCTCTATTTAGAGGAACTACGAAAATTTAGAGTGAGAAAAGCTGAAATGGAACTGAGCAGATCTCTAATGCTTTGTGCAGCTCTTTCATGTCCATTGTTCCGCAGCTCTTGCCCAGTTCCATTTGGTTCCTCTTTGGCGCATTGTCACGTCAGTTTGCAACAGTCTAATTCACAATAGATCATTGTGCTTGCGTTTAAAACCATTGAAGACTTATGTGAATGAGTCTCACTATATGGTCATACAACTTTAATAGCTAACAGTGGGGTAGAGATAGAGAGAGAGAGAGAGGGAGAGAGAGTTTGAAAGGGGAGAGGAACAGCAGAGAGGGAGACAGAGAGAAGCCAGCACATTGCGTTTGTTCAACGCTTGAGTTATTAATGGAGCATTAGCAGCATTTTGCGCACAAGTGAAGTACAGTCAAGCTCCCGCATAATGAATTACATTAGTAAACGGAACTGCAGTGCTAACAGCGTTTAAGGAATATGAAATACTCTTATTAGAGTTAATAATAGCACAAAAGTATATAATTAATAAACATAACGAAAAAAATGTGTGAATAAACGACTATGAAATACCCTAGTTTTAAATATATTATTATGAATAATTTGTATTAGTTATTTCTTATATTATA